AAAAAAAAATTATATTAAACTTGGAAAACTGACAACAACAAGATAGTGTTGGTCTCTACATATGTGAACCTTACCTTCCATAAGTTGACATAGTTTGTGGCAAGGGCAGTGTGTAAAGTGTCTGAAAGCCTAGCAGAGCTTTAGGGTCTCGGTCTTTCTAAGGCAGAGCTTTTTCTTGGGGAGATATTTGTAATGCGGTCAGCTCAGTCAGACCAAGTCTGTAATCCTTGAGTGCTTATTTCAGCAGAGAGGCTCAGTAGTATCATTATCTTAAACTTGGAAAACTGACAACAAGGATACCACCAAATCCCACTTTGTTCAAACCCTTGGAGGGAAATGTCATTTGAAGTCTTTGGATGATTTAAGTAAAGCTGCGGTTTTTTTAGAAAACAAGAAACATGAGGAACTCAGTCTGATAGCTCACCATGGATTGCCAAGCTGAGATTCTGTCAGGCTTATTCTTTTGGATAAACAAGAATCAGATAGAGTAGTAATTGTCTGGAAACAGTTATCTCCTGAAAAACAGTTTGTTCTTTTAAGAAGTTGACACATTTCTTCCTCCTAATAATATCTTATTTACACTGTGATTATTGGTTGGGGTTCTCCAGACAAACAGAACAAATAAGATATGTTATGTATGTATATGTATGAGTGTATATATAGAGGTGGGGGAAAGGGAGAAGAAGAGGGAATTTTATTTTAAAGAATTGGCTCATGTGATTGTGGGTGTGGGGACTGACAAATTTGAAGTTGGCAGGGCAGGGCAGCAGACTACAAACTCAGGCAGATTTCTTCTTCCTCTTCCCCTTTCTCCTCCTTTTCCTTCTTCTCCCTGTCTCCTCCTCCTTATCCTCCTCCTCTTCCTCCTCCCTTCCTCTTTCCTCCTTCCTTCTTCTTCCTTTGCAGTACTGGGGGCTGAACTCAAGCCCTTGCATTTGTAAGGAAGGTGCTCTACCATGAGCTACAGTCTCAGCCTTTTCAATTTTGAGTTGGAGTCCTGCTAAGTTGCCCAAGCTCCCCAGCTCAGGCAGGTTTCTATGTTGCAGTCTTGAGGAGAATTATTTTCCTTTAAGAAACTCCAGGGGCTGGGGTTGTGGCTCAGTGGTAGAGTGCTCATCTAGTGCGGTGAGGCACTGGGTTCGATTCTCAGCACCACATAAAAATAAAATAAAGTTATTGTGTCCACCTATAACTAAAAAATATATATTAAAAATAAAAGAAAGAAAGCCCAGTCTTTACTCTTGAGAGTGGGTGAGCTCCACCCACATTGTGGGGAACAATCTGGTCTTCTCAAAATTTACTGATGTTAAATATACTTAAAAAATACCTTTACAGCAACATCTGTACTGATGTTTAACCAACCAAACAACTGGGCACCATACCCTAGCCAAGTTGACACATAAAATCACCCATCACATACAGTTCACTTGTTCTGTGGAAACTCTTCTATCTTGCCAGACTTAATCAGGATTGCTGTTTCGCTTGTTTTCCTCTGTGGTCTAAATTTTGTACCTGGACCCAGCCTGTCTTCTATCCAGAGAGAAATCATTAGGGCTCTTCAAAGTGATACTGGGGTTGTTTTTTTCCCTCACTTTTTTCTCCTTCTCCTTTCTCTTATCAGAAGTGCTGTTGAAGATGCATTCTGTTGGAATCTGTGGCTCAGATGTCCACTACTGGCAGCATGGTCGAATTGGGGATTTTATTGTGAAAAAGCCAATGGTGCTGGGGCATGAAGCTTCAGGAACAGTCGTAAAAGTGGGATCAATGGTAAAGCACCTAAAACCAGGTCAGCAAAATCCTTCAGCTAACTGATACATGTATTCATTCCACATAATATTTGTGTTTGCTTCCTCTTGACCAGGCACTCTGTTAAGCACTGAGCACAGCAATGAACAAGATAGTGTTGGTCTCTACACATGTGAACCTTACCTTCCACAGCAGGAGACAAACCCAGACAGACAAACAGGTCCTTTGTGGCAGTGTTAAGGGCAGTGGAAGAGAATGAAGGGTGTGATCAGCATGTCTTACCTAGACCTCTGGCTCCTTTGGAAAAGATGCAGTTTACCCAATACCTGAAGCCAAGTGAGAAATAAACCAGATAAAGAGGTAGAGAAAATGTTCCAGGAACAAAAGCCACAAACTACCTCCATGTGCTGAGAATCAAGGCTTTAGATAGAATCTTTGATTTTTTGAAAAAAAAAATGTCTTTTAGTTGTGGATGAACCTTTATTTTTATTTATTTATTTTTATGTGGTGCTAAGAATTGAACCCAGTGCCTCACACATGCTAGGCAAACCCTTTACCACTGAGCCACAACCCCAGGCCCGGAATCTGTGATTTTTATTGGAGGATTGGAAAATAACCAATATTTTCCCTAGATTTGCTTAATTCATTCTGCCTGAGGGGAGGAATTTTTAGCTGTGGCAGACTATGTTGTTCCCTTACCAGTGAACTAAATCCGAATTGTCTTGACATACCCAGTTGTTAGCTTTAACTTTCCTTTGCTAACAATGTCATTATGTCCTGGAGATGATGTCAAATCACTTGGAGGAAGGCAGTGATTAGCAGTATGTGACATCTTGTGTTAGTCATAAGAGCCTCTAAGCCACATGGAGGGGGATTGGCAAGATCAGAAATTATACATGTGTCCCACTTAGTATTCTTAGGACAGGGCCTCCCTTCATCATTAGTGGAAGCTGAGAAAACTGTAGTGTTACAGGGTTTTCCTAAAGTTGAAAGTCCATAAATTCCAACAATCTCTGATGACTGGTTCTTATGAGACCAGGTCTCTAAATGTAAGTTAAAGCATGGAATGGGGGTCTGCTAAATGTAAGTTCTAACAAGTGTTTAGTCCAGGTCCAGTGTTGTGCCAGATGCTTTAAGAGAGATAAGAAAAGAAAATATATGATTCCTAGAGCTTAGATCTAGTTAGGGAGATCAGACCTTAGGACTTATACCAGTACCAACAAGTAGAGAACAAGACTCTGGCCCTAGAAGTCAAAGGGCAATTGCTATAAGCAGAGGTGGTTGAAGAAGGTGCCTGGAGAAGATAGGTCTTGGAGCTGGACATGTGATAGTAACAATAATAAGAAGGTCAGTATTTTTGATTTGCTATTCATTAATCTCCAAGTTAAACATTTAGAGACAATTATTTATTTCATTCTTGAAACCAGTCTATGAGGTAAGCATTATTATGCTTATTAGTAGATGAAGAAATTAGAGCTTGGTTTTTGTCCCAGGGACACACACTGGTTAGTCTCAGAGCTGAAATTCCCACCCTGTTCTTTCTGACCCTAGAGCAAGTACTCAGAACCATCAGGCTGCCCAGCATTTTTAGATTTGAAGAAGATTTTGTATTTGAGTCAGTGAAGAGGTCATAAAATACTATTTTGGTTAAGAGGAACAGAACAATGAGATTACAGAGGCTATAGTAACTAACCTGTCTGGATTGCTTATATGTCTCTTTTTTCAGAGCAATTGTTTTTGGTTGGAGAGTTAGTGGACATGATAAAATTGCATAGTTTTTATCAAAGTTCCTCTTTAAAAAACACCATACAACTGTGAATTGTATTATTATAATGTAAAATAATTATAGTAGTAAATTATTACGGTAATAATTTATTCAGTAATAAAATTGAACAATACCTGATCATGGAAAACCTTGAATGTCAAGTTGGAGACATCACCCTTAATGGTATAATTTGCAGAAAGTTCACTGGGCAGCAGAGAAAGTATAGGGAGTCAGAGAGGAAGAAGGAAGAGACGTACAGGTGAGGAATGCATTATAATGGTCTCAAGGGATTTCTGTGAGTACTTTTTTTTTTTTTTCAGAATACAAAGCTTTTATTTAAAATGATTCATGAGCTAATTTTTCCCTCCAGGGTTGCTATACCACTGAGTACATTATTGTAAGCCCTTTTTATTTTTTATTATAAGATAGTGTCTCACTGGTTGCTAAGACTATGATTGCAGGCATGTGCCACTGCACTTGCTCATATGCTAATTTTGATTTCAAGTTCTAATCAACTAATCCTAAGAGAAGAAAACTACTCATTGAATATTTCTTAATAGTTATTTACATAATGTAAACTGATAAATCTAAGGCATGGAAATATTTCTAATTTATATATAATCTAACTATCTTTTTTAAAAAAGATCTTTACTTATTTATTTATTTTTTAATGTGGTGCTGAGGATGGAACCCAGGACCTCACATTGCTAGGCAAGTGCTTTACCACTGAGCCACAACCCCAGCCCCCTAATCTAACTATCTTATAGTTTGAAATTCCTCTGCAATAATGCCAGTTCAGATAATTATAATGATAAATACAATAAAAACAAGTGTCCTACTATTATATATTTCTGTCAGTATTATTACCATCACTGCCACTAATGAACACCAGATGTTTAATAGGATCTACACTATTCCATGGATACGTTGTGTTGTGTTCCTGGCAACTTAAATACTCAGGGGTCACTCCAGGGAAACCGAAATAATTGGACTGCGTGAAATAACCACACAAGAGAAAGAAGTACCTTTTTCTTTAGGGGTGCTGTGATGGCTTCTCTGACCTTAAGGGTCTGCAGAAAGAGAGAGAGAGCACGGGCTGACCCCTTTTATTGAGGAGAAGCCATTTAAATGAGGCAAGGAGTCAGGTTTCAAGGGGCTGAGTCTAGCTTCATGATGTCTGCTGTCAGCAGGTTGACTGACATCTAGGAAGGCCACACCCAAAGGCAGAATAAGAGAAGGAGACACACAAAGGGCGTTTCCATGGAACATTCAATTCCAAATAGGGCAAGGTGTAATATCACAAAGGAACAAGTGAGCGTAGCTACCTGACTACCAGGTGAGCGGGGCTACCGTCTATGATTACCTAGGGAACCAGATCACAAGGTGACCGACAATACCACACCCATCAAAAGGGGAGACAAACACTGGTCATGCTGGTCACGTGCTATGTTGGCCGCCTGCAAGGTGGAACACAGAAAGACAGCAGATAGCTTATTCAGAGAGAAGATTGATGGCTGGAGGAGAGATGGGTAGATGCAATGGGAGGGTGGATAGATAAATACAGGACAAAGTGAACATAGCTAAATGCTTCTTGAAGAACCTAGGTAGAAGGTATCTGGATATTTACTTACACAATTCTTTGATCATTGATGTATGTCTCAAATTTTTCATAATAAAAATATAGGGGGGATAAACCTATTGGAGAGCAGTTCTTGGGCTGGGTTTCCAAGCAGGATAATGAGACATAAAAATATGACAGACTAGCTATTCACCAGCCTTGAATATATTACCCTCTATTGTACAGTCTGGGCCTCTACAGGTCCTTGGCCCTCACAGTTCTGCCAACCAGGAATCAGTTGACTCCTAATTATTGTCTAAACACAACCATACTGAACATAAAACAGGCTATAATTATAATTCTTGTCTTTGTAGAGGTCTTGTCCTGTGTTTTCAAAACAAGTGAAGAAAAAACGTCTGCATGCTCCATGCACTAGCTGCCCCTTTCACAGTGGATTTGAGGGGGAAGCCAGACCTGGTTTGCCTTAGATATAGGACTGGTTCTGTGTTTCCCAAGCTGGAAAGTGGCTTGTGGAGCTGGAGAGGCAGGTTGGCTTGTCACAAGGCAGGCCAAACCAGTCTTTGGAGAAGTGGGCTGGCTCTTTCCTCCCAGAATATCATCCTTTTCTGCATCCTGAATTCCTTTTGGAAACACTAGCAGGCTTGGCCTGTCTAGGGTACCCTGGGTCCCCAAGGAGGAGGATGGATCCTTAGGCTAGATTCTTGCATTTGGCATCAGCCCAGGAGCTGGCATGCCTTCACCATATCTCTATCCTGTTCTTGTTTTCAAAGGTTGGAAAACAAGAAGCCAAAGAGGGGTCAGATGACAGTGTGCCACCATATTTTCCTCTCCAGGTGATCGTGTTACTATTGAGCCTGGTGCTCCCCGAGAAAATGATGAGTTCTGCAAGATTGGCAGATACAATCTGTCACCATCCATCTTCTTCTGTGCCACACCCCCTGATGATGGGAACCTCTGCCGATTCTACAAGCACAATGCTGACTTCTGCTACAAGTGAGTGCTCACCATCCAGCTGTGCCATTAGGGACCTCTTTCCCTTTATTTTTTTAGTACTTTTTCTTCTAGTTTCCTGTGGTGATTTCAGCTCAAATTCTAAACATGGGGCATTTCCCTGGCAGGCGTGCCCTTCTTGGTGGTACTGATGAAGGGACTAAAATTGACTCACAGTAATTGGTTTATCATCTTTTAGTTTGGAGCAAAAATAGAAAATTGCAACTCAAATCACTTGAGCCCTATAATCATCTTGGAGAGAACTTGCCATCATCCATCCTTCATTTTGGTTTCTTCTATAGCCACCAGAAAGGGAAACTATAACAGTGACCTTGATAACAACAGCAAACAGTGACAGTGAGGCTTACTGAGGAGGTATAGTGTGGTGTCGGGGCTTGAGTCTTGGCATCCTGGATTCAGGCCCTCCTTGTGAGTGACTTTGGGGAGATAATTTAACCTTCCCCTGCTTCACTTTTTAATCACCAGAAGACTAAAGAGGGCAGTGCATGTAAAGCCACATCTACTATTACCACATGCCTGCCTTTATGCTAATAAGTGCTTTATATGTGAATCTTATTTAACCTTCCCAGGAGTAATGGTGAGGTGGCACTGTTTTGCACTTTTTTTTAAGTATATTTTTTTAAGTTATTGATAGACCTTTTTTTATTTATTGAACCCAGTGCCTCACGTATGCCAGGCAAGTAAGCTGTTTTGCACTTTTTATACAAGCGTTTACTGAGGCAGATGAAGGCTAATGGATTCAGGTACAGAGCAGAGCCAGGAGGCAGACATCCCCATGCCCTGTGTCTACTAATCTACTACAACTCATGCCTGAAATAGTCTTGAGTTAAGAAGCTGTGTTCTAAAGAAACTAGGTGTTGCACAGTCCTCATGAGTTTCTGCTTTGGAGCTCTGGGGTGCTGATGGCCTCCTCTTCCTCTGACCTGACCCAAGTGTGTTTTCCTTCTATCCCAGCCTGGCCCCAGTGGTGGCTATCAGCCAATATAGGGCTTGTCCAATGGAAACGGCGTGCCATTCCCAGGGGCAGTCTAACAGATCTGAGTTTTTCTAGTGCTCACTGGAAGCCTTGAGAGGAGTTGTAGGCCAGAGACCTTGTGATGAGTTTAAGTCAACACCTGGCTTACTTCAGAAGAAAGCAGGTTTTTGTGGGCCGAGTTCACCTATCAGCAAGTGGTTCCTGAATCAGCCTGTCTTTTCCTGGGCCCTTTCCAAATCAAGGTGTACACAGTGTTTTCATGGAAGGAGGAAGAGCACAGTGGTAAAGCTCAAGACTAACCACTAGTCTCTGCCATTTACTCACCGTGTGACCTCAAGCAAGTTCTTTAAATTTTATAATCTCAATATCATTGGCGTAAAATGGGCATTATAATAGAATCGTTCTCACAGAACAGTTGATAAGATTTAATGAGAAAGAAATAGTAGATACTCAGCACAAAGCCTGGTGCTCAATAAATGACACCAAGGTATGTCTTAGCCATGGTCTTGTGGTCTGGGAGACGGAGGTATAGGATTAGGTCTGAGAAGGGAGCCTTGTGCTGAGGATAGGGTGGTGGTAGTTTGTAGGGAATAGCGTGTGGTAGTGAGGGGGTTCTGGTTAGTAGTGGCAATAGGAGGGTTGAAGAAAGTCTTTGGGTGTCATGTACAGCTCACCTCTCCTCTCCTCTTTCCCTAGCATAGCCCTGGGCCTTAGTCTGCTTCATGCTCCCTCTTGGCTTCTTGATCATCCTTTAACCACTTTTGTCTGTTCCCCAAACACTATTGTAAAATCATCAAACTACCTTGCTATTTATTCTCTGGTGTTTATAAAGTCCAAAAAAGTTAAGGCTAGAAAGAAACTTGGAGTCCTGTCATTCCCATTCCCTGTCAGTTCCCACTGGACAATATAGGGGAGGGAGGACCCAGTGACCTTCCCATGGTCAATGGCAGAGGGGCTAGCCCCAGCACTCCTCATGCCTTCTGTGTTTTTGCCTCCATGCCCAGAGGTTTTCTCATATAGTTGGCTGTGTTGGGTACAGGTATGAGAAGGCAGCTTCTATCTGATGGGTAGAACTCTCAATCAACCAGATGACAGCCTAACTCACCACCATTCCCATCCATACCTCCACCCACTTTTCTTTGGTGTTTTTTGTTTTTGTTATTAGTCCCCCCCACTCCACCCTCTTCCTGTAGTACTAGGGGTTGAACCCACTGAGTACATCCCCAACCTTTTTTATTTATTTATTTTTTTGAGATAGGGTCTTGCTAAATTGCTGAGGCTGGCCTTGAACTTCCAGCCTCCTGCCTCAGCCTCTTGGGTAGCTGGGATTACAGGTATGCGCCACCATGCCCGCTCTTTGATGTTCTTATTCCAAGGGAAATCAGAGACAAGATACCAGGAGCACTCAGTTTAGAGCCATTCTGAGCTCTGTGGGAGGCCCAGCTGTGAAGAGGCAGTGGGATTCCTTAAAAGGGTTTAGGAGTCTTTATTATTTCATTATAAAACTTTTTCCTTTATATGGAATCAGCACCTGTAGGGTGACTAGGGTTTGAACAGCAGTCAGAATGAGAATGAGTTGGAGTGGGGGAAATTATGTGAGAGAAGCAGAGGGGAGGGAAGGGGGAGAAGCCAGCTGAACATAGGCCTTGTGATTTATTCTGTCAAGGATGGTAACAATAGCAAAAAGACTGTGGAGATGAACATAATGTTGGGCTACCATGTTGATTTTCTGTTTATAAGTTGAAGGTTTTCATGTTTCTGTGTGTAGAGATTTTGAGGGCATTATGTAAATACTGGACAATGATGAATTAGTCAAAATTAGCTATTAGCCATAGAACTGCTTGTACCAAGAGGGAGCTGATGTGGGCCAGGCAGAACGTGTGGAATCAGGACACTGGTTCAAGTCTTGATTAGAACCAACCTTGTAACCTTGGGCAAGTCTCTTAATGTCATTGAGCTTCAGTTTCCTCTAATGTAAAATCAGGTAAAAAGAAAGCCTGTCCTTCCTGCCTGACAGGGTTATCCTGTGGATTAGATGAGATAATGAACTAGAAAACTGTCTAATCCGTAAAGCCTTTTGCAAATGTTTGCTGTCTACATCAGTGGGATTGTTGATGAGGTGGAGATGCCAGTGGATTCAGAAGTGAAAACCAAGAACCCAGTGCTGAAAGTGATATAGCATTTAATCAGCTATGTGGAACAGGCCCTGTTCCCTTCTTAACCACTCCTGGGACAGCCAGGCAGCTGCTGTCACCAGATGTGGTTTTTCTAGAATGGGGACAAGTACCAGAATGATGCCCACTGTTAAGTCACTGATCTTCAAAACTGCTGATAGTTGAGATTGTTTGCTAAAGTGAAGCATGACACATGGAAAGTTTGAAAAGATGATGAGATGCTGGAATGTTGGCTATGTTAACCCCTTGTTAAATGAACTTCTATTAATGACAACCACTCCATACCTTAGCTTGAGTAGCACATTACAAAATAATATGGAGTTAGGTGCAGTGGCACAAGCCAATAATCCCAGTGTCTTGAAAGGCTGAGGTAGTAAAATCACAATTTCAAGGCCAGGGCCAGGGATGCATCCCAGTGGTAGAGTGCCATTGAGTTTAATCGTCAGTACTGCAAAAACAAACCAATAAATAAACAAAATCACAATGTAGGTTGGGGGTGTAGCTCAGTGGTAGAGCACTTGCCTAGCATGCACAAAACCCTGAGTTCAATCCCTAGCACCACAAAAGGCAAACAAATTAAAGCATGGTTTGATCACATTCACTGAAGTGATTTCTCCAAAAAAAAAATCATTTTCATCGGGGGAAGAATAAAATGGGTTCTGGAATCAGATATTACTGACTTCTAATTGGAATTTTGTGAGCTCCTCATTATCTTTGGACCTTTGGGGCAAGTCATTTAACCCTTTAAACTCAGTTTCCTGAAAATGGAAATAGTAGTACCCACTACAGAACTATTCTGAGATTGACATGAGTGAATGTGTGTAAAGTGCTTAATGTATTACTCTGCACATTAATAAGTGCTCAATATTAGCTATTGTTACTATTATAGTGACATTGGACATATACAATATAATTTTTTTTACTTTATAAATTTTTAAATTTGTTTTAATTAGTTATATATGGCAGTAGAATTCATTTATGCACTTTGCAATATCATACATAAATGGGGTATAAATTCTCATTTTTCTGATTGTACTTATTGTAGAATCACATCAGTCATGCAGTCATATATGTAATAAGGTAATAATGTCTATTTCATTGTACTATCCCTCTTCTCGCTATCCCCTCCCCTCCCTTCACTCCCCTCTACTTAATCTAAAATAACTCTGTTTTTCCTTACACTGCCCCCCCCTTATTGTGAGTTAGCATCCACATATCAGAGAAAATATTCAGCCTTTGGTTTTTTGGCATTGGATTATTTTGCTTAGCATGATATTCCCCAACTTATTTATTGGCAAATGCCATAATTTCATTCTTCTTTAAAGCTGAGTAATATTCCACCGTGTATGTGTACCACATTTTCTTTGTCCATTCTTCTATTGAAGGGCACCTGGGTTGGTTCCATAGTTTAGCTATTTGTGAATTCAGCTGCTATAAACATTGATGTGGCCATGTCACTATAGTATGCTGATTTTAAGTTCTTTGGGTATAAACCGAGGAGTGGGATAGCTGAGTCAAATGGTGATTCCATTCCAAGTTTTCTGAGGAATCTCCATACTGCTTTCCATAGTGGTTGCATCAATTTGCAGTCCTGCCAACAATGTATGAGTGTACCTTTTTCTCTACATCCTCACCAACATTAATTTTGCCTCTATTCTTGATGATTGCCATTCTGAGTGGAGTAAGATGAAATCTTAGAGTGGTTTTGATTTATATTTCTCTAATTGCTAGAGATGTTGAACATTTTTTCATATATTTATTAATTGATTGTATTTCTTTTTCTGTGAAGTGTTTTTAGTTTTTTAGCTGATTTATTGGTTGGGTTATTTGTTTTTTTTGGTGTTAAGTTTTTTGAGTTCTTTGTATATCCTAGAGATTAATGCTATTGTTGCTATTTTACTTAATCTAGAAGATCTAACTGTGCATGTTGAATGACTCCTCAGGCTTCCCGACAATGTCACCTTTGAGGAAGGGGCCTTGATTGAGCCACTCTCTGTGGGAATTTATGCCTGCCAGCGAGGTGGAATCTCCCTGGGGAAGAAAGTCCTTGTGTGTGGAGCTGGTAAGAAACAGTTGACACTTCATTATGGATGCAGTGACTGAGGATATGGGGACCCCTTGTCCATCTTATTCCCCTTGAAAGACTGGGATTAGTTCTAGAATCTTTCTGAGTAGGGTAGGATTATAGTGTTTCATTCCCTCAGTGACTAGCACTTTGCTGAATAACTAAAATGTCTGCAGACATGATAATAATTAGATTTCCTAGGCAACATAACCCTTTTATTCATTTTAGGAATGAATTCTGGGGCTGGGGTTGTGGCTCAGTGGTAGAGCACTTGCCTAGCATGTGCAAGGTACTGGGTTTTGTCCTCAGTAGTACATAAAAATAAATACATAAAATAAAGGTATTGTGTCCAACTACAACTAAAAAAAAGTATTAAAAAAAGAATGAATTCTACTGGGCATTGTGGCACACATCTGTAATCTCAGCAGCTTGGAAGGCTGAGGCACAAGGATTGCAAATTCAAAGCTAACCACAGCAAAATCCAGGAACTCATTGAGACCCTGTCTCTAAAATAAAAATACAAAATAGGGCAGGGGATGAGGTTCAGTGGCCTAGTGCCCCTGAGTTCAAGCCCTGGTATCCACCCAAAAATGAATTCAATGATTGTTTTTGAACCTGTGGCAAACCTAGGAAAATGCTTTTGATTTCCTGATATTAAAGGAAAAGATAAGTTTTGGAACTTTGGAGTCACACCAGAAAAGTGATGGCCAAACCCCGTCCATGAACTGTGAATGCAGAAGTGAATGAATGTATTTTTTTCCTAGGGGAGCTCATAAAGTTGGTTTCAAGGGTGTGTACAAAACATGAACCCAAAAGATATTCTTTTTTTGCTCCATTTTGTGGTTCAAGATTTTATATTAAAGCCACAGTGCCACCTAATATGCAGATTCTGTGGCGAAACAGGTGATTTGGGGCTAGTTCATGGATACCCGAATATCCTGAAGACGGTCAACCCAGAGAGCCACCACACTTAAGGATTCCCTCCAGAGGATCCTTGGAGGACACCCAGAAAGGGTATTTCTCTTGGGGAAACATGATGATTTCTTATGAAGTTTAGGGTAGGAAAACATCTGAACCTTCTGGTTCTAATTTGCTGAAAAAGTATAAATCCTCTGGGTCTTTGAATTTATCTTCAAGCAATGCCCAAGTATAAGTGGAAAATTTATAGTGCTGAGTTATAGGAAAATCAAGTAGAACCTAGTGCTAGGAGCATGTTTCATATATAGAACATTTACCTCTGCATTCAAAAACAGTTGTTAAGGTCTTAATATGTGCCAGGTTCTGGGCTAAATGCTAGCAACACAAAAGATACAATTCTTGGCCATGGCCTGGGCAAGGGAATGAGCTGATATATAATAATACACAAACTTCTCCCTTTTTCTGTTTTGCTTAGGGCCAATTGGGCTCGTCACTTTGCTTGTGGCCAAGGCAATGGGAGCAGCTAAAGTTGTAGTGACTGGTAAGATTTTCTTAAAATTTCCTTGAGGGTGAAACATCTGGACCCACAGTTTAGGGCAGAGGCATGAGATACATTCCCTTCCTATGTTAGTCTATTTCCTGTTTCTGTAAAAAAAATAAATAAAATAAATACTGGAGACTGGGTACTTTTAAAGAAGAGGTTTATTTAGCTCACCATTTGGAGGTTGAAAGTCCAAGATTGGGCAGCCCCATTAGTTTGGCCTCTGGTGAGGGCCCCTGGGCCCATAGCATCACAGTGGCTGGAGCATGTGTGAAAGAGATCATATGATGAGACAGGAGACCAGAGAGATTCAAAGGTCAGACTTACTACTTTCAGGAGAATTAACTCACTCTGCAAGACCAGCATTAATCCCTTCTGTTGGCAGCACTCGCAAGGACTTAATTACCTTGTACTAGGTCCCACCTTCAAACTTCCATGTAGGATACCAGGCCTCTGGCACATGAACTTTTCAGGGACAAACCACATCCAAACAATGGGTTCTGATTCTAAGGGGGCTCCTTCTTTCTCTGGGTTTTAGGGTTGAAAAGTCTACATAGGTATGACCAACTCAGGATGGAGCCTTTTGTGAAAGGAGGGAGTAGCTACTCTGGAGAAGAGGTTGTGTCTCTTTCTGTGTGGACCTCCTACTTCCCTCTCAGTTCTAAAAGGAAACTTAGCTCTTGGTCTTTTTTTTTTCAAGCTTAGGAGATCAAGAGGATGTATTTGTGTGTGGGGAGTTGGTGGTGTGCATCATAAACCCATCTATCCATATGTACATGCATACATAAGGTTTTATGTGTGCGTGTGTGTATATGTAAAAAGTATGAAAATGTGTGTAGCTGTATGGTATGTGTGGGGCTTTGTGAAGATGTAGAAGGGTGTCGATTATGTGTCTTGTGTGAGAAGGAATTTATGAACGTGTGTGGTGTGTGTGTGTGTGTGTGTGTGTGTGTGTGTGTGTTATGTGCAGCAGTGTGTAGGGGTCAGAAGCACCTCTCACTACACTGGAGCTTGCACTTCTGTTTTTTTTTTTTTCTAATCAGTCATTTGATTTCTCAGTTTAAAAGAAACTTTTGCTCATCTTTAGATCTGTCTGCCTCTCGGCTGTCCAAAGCCAAGGAAGTTGGGGCTGATTTCACTCTTCAGGTCTCCAAGGAGAGCCCTCAGGAAATCGCCAGTAAAATAGAAAATCTACTGGGGTGCAAGCCAGCTGTCACCATTGAGTGCACAGGGGCAGAGTCCTGCATCCAGACGGGCATCTACGTGAGTGAACTGCGGGCGACAAACTGTCGGGCTGCTTTGGGGAATCAGCGTAGGGCAGTGAAGGGAACAGAAGTGAGAAGTCCCACTGTCAGGATTCTCCACCCACTGGCTGTTTGATCCCCAAGCAGAATTGGTTAGTCTCTCAGCATTTTGTTTTCTTGTCTGGAATGCAGAGATAGTAACTCTTACCATGGAGTCACAGGGTACCCAACACAATGACAGACACACATGAATGATGTTAGTAGCTTGCAGCTTTAGGATGGGGTTGCCTTCAAGGTCATTTCATGGTCGTTAAGGTACCCTCTTGGTAAAACCATCAACAGGAGGAACAGCTAGTCATGTCTTAGTTGTGTGGTAAATCCCTATCTTGTTTTATTGAGGAAAACTGTACTTTTGGGTCACTGATACAAAGTGACAGCCATTGATTAAGTTAGTCACAAAGGTGAGGTGAATTTTCAGGGCCACAGTGGCTAGTGTTGTGCTATTTCCTAGAACTGGAACGTATAAGCTGCATATGTCTGATTTGCTCCTTGAGGACCCACCCCATCAGCAATTCATGGAAACTGAAGGCGTTGTAGATAAGGGGAGGGAGGAGCAATGACAGATCAGAGTATGAGGAAAAAGGGAGAAAGAGAATAACTTCTAGATTCCAAGTCTTACTGTATGCCAGGTCCTCTTCTAGGTACTTTATATACATGAGGCCTAATCTGTGCAATAGCTCTGAAAATCATTTATCATTTTATGTGGAGAAGGTCCTGTAGACTTTGCTTCAAGCATATGACTCTAAGTGACTGAGTCAGGTTCAAGTGCATCCTGCCTGCTCCAGAGCTTCCCCTATTCTGCCCTGCTGCTCAGGAGAGGAAGGGAAAGAGTAGATGAGCAAATGTGCTAGGATGGGAGGGCCTAGGCTGGGGAGGGCAGCAAGCCAGGGACCCCTGCCCCACCTTCTAGACTGCTTCCTCCCAATAGTGTGGGCTTCTGCCTTCCTTCTGAGTCACACAAGGTTACTTTGCAGCATGTGAGATATTCTGGGTAAACTCACACCTACAGCTGTGGCATACCCACAGGCCCAGCATCCTGGAAGAGCTACCTAGCCCTCCTCCTACCAAAATGCCCAGAGGCATTGGGGGCTAAGGACATAGTAGAAGGAAGGAGCAAGTAGCATTTTACCCTGTCCTGAGTTACAACTAGAATGAGCTAGCCCTTGGCTCTCTGATATAGACAGGTTGCCATATGGGAAAGGGCAAAGAGAAACCAAAACTCAGATGATGGGATGTGTGTCATCTCCATTTGTTGCCAGTGGGGGCCTGTCTGCTAGGCTACTTGAGGTTGGCATGGAGGTGAATGTAATCCTATGGCCTTACCAGGCCTGAAGAGATGTCTGATCTAGGGAGTAGCACCAAATATAGACATACCTGAGCATCACTTTCCTGCGCAGGTGATAACTGCATGGTGTTTGGGAGGAGGTATGGCATTATGCCTTGGGGTAGAATTAATGTCACCTTGGTCTAGACATCACATCCACAGCAGAGTGGTCAGGTAGTCTCAACATTCCTTGACCTATGATCAGAAATTGCTGGACCCTGGCATCCTGGAGTGGCTAGTTTGTGGTAGAGAATTGCTGATGGGGAAGAAGTTTTCCTGGAAAATTTCTCAGTCAATAGCTTTTGTGGCTTACCCACAACTTTGACCCCTTTCTCCCATATTCCTCTGTGAACAGCAGGATCTTCCTGATTCATTTATGTTCCCTGGTGGCTTGTAAGTAATTCTGTGTATCAGTAAAAACACAAAACAGCCAAATGTTGAGACCACACTAGCTGAGCACTGTGATTGTTACACACAAGAGACTGGCTGAGAGGACAAGTCACTTCTAGCACTGCAGCTTCTGAGTGCTAGAAGTCAGTGCACATGGCTGCAACCTAGAGCCCTACCTTTGCTCCTGGTACTGCAAGCCTCTCTTCATGGTGTATCCTTCCCCTCCAAGAGTGGATTGGGCCATGCGCCTTTGTGTAACTCTGTTTATCACTTGGAATATTTCTGGTAAGTGATTGTTGCTCCTTCTGATTATCATGAAAACTTAACCGTGAATGGATTGTCCATTTTTCTGTCTCTCACAATATAGAGCACAGTGATCCCCAGAAAGCTCTGGAGGGGGCACAATACTCACGTGGAGTTACATGAAAATTGTCAGGAGAAATTCTGCCACCTCTGACCCTCCTTTGAGTGGTCCAGGGAGTATGTTACTAGAATCTATAATTCCATGTCCTTAGCAGAGCACTCATTTTCCAGATAAATATTCAGGGAAGACCAAATCCATTATGGCTGGGACTATTGGGATGAATGCCTCTGGAACAAAAACATTTCTGCAAACCTGCTTGTAGGAAGATGCTTTTAAACTTTATAATTCCAAAAGCCCATTTGTACAGTAGCTGGTAGTTTTTTTACTGTTGGTGAGGTCAGAGGGTTGTTGCTTAGAGGTGTATGAAAGGCCTACCTTGTGGAGGGGTGGTCTGCAGGAAGAGCAAGTGTCAAGACATGGAAATCGGGTGGGGTTGTAACTCAGTGGGAGAGCGTTTGCCTGTGAGGTATGAGGCACTGGGTTAGATCCTCAGCACCACGTAAAAATAAATAAATAAATACAGAAATAGATAAATAAAATAAAGATATTGTATCCATCTACAACTAAAAAATTAAAAAAAAATACTGATGCCAGTATTTGGTGCTGTATTTATAAAGCTTTGGAAGATGTTCTCTTGGTCAAGTGTATTATTTCAGGTTATTTAAAGATGATAATGTTTGCTCTGCTGCTTTGTTGAGTTTTTTCCTCGTGTTCTGCAGCATAGCAGGACTCATATTCTCTGAAATTTTTGGATATTCACCTGATGTAGTCAGAAGACATTTGTGTGACAATAGTGTGTTAACATAAATTGTATATCCACATTCTCTTACCTTCTGAGTTTTCCTTTCTCTTCAGGCCACTCGTTCTGGTGGGACTCTGGTACTTGTGGGAATGGGCTCTGAGATGACCACTGTACCCTTAGTGCATGCAGCCGTCCGAGAGGTGGATATCAAGGGCGTATTTCGATATTGCAACACGTGAGTATGTTGTGGGTAAGCCAGGGTGGCCAGCTGCCAGCAATACCAGGGCAGGCCCCACACTGACTCTGGGACCTGTTTATTCATGAGGGGCACTCCCTGACCACACTGACTGCTATGTGATATGATAGAGATCCAAAGAGAAAACATGTACTTCTCAAACAGAGGGAGGGACATACAGAGAGGGGATTTTGAAGCATGCTCTCATTAGCTGTCTGCCACTCATTATCCAGCCCTCTCTTTTCTTTTTTCTTATGAGGCCAGACCTCCATTTTCCCTCTTCAATGGGAAGAAGGAAAGAAAGGAAGAGAGAGAGAGAGAGAGAAGAAATCAAGTCCCTTTGCCCTCATTTTTGAATTCCAGGGCCCATCCTGGGGAACTAGAGGGCCTTAATTCACCTCACCCTTGTTCCTCAGCTTCAGCCTTTCCCCTTTGAGGGTCCACTGTCTGGGACATCCTGCTCTAGCAATGTCCCTTACTCCCAACTTAAGAATCTATAATTCCATACCTTCAGCTAAGTACCATTTTTCCAATAAGCTCTGCCAACCTGAACTGGCAGTGGGGTGACTTGATTATCCTGAACTGCCTCCCTGAGGCCTGCTACCTTTTTGTAGCGGCCTCCATAATCTTTCTCAGGCCTCCATAGTCTTTCTATGGAGGCATTGCAAAATGAGGGAATAGGAGGTAAGGAAGCAATTGGAAACAATCTTTATGCCTGCAAATTACAAGCCACAAAGTCATTTCCTGTTGTTGGTCTGTAAAATTGGCCTTGCTGAAGCACAGCGCTAGAAAGAAATATGGCCAAGCAGTTCTTACGCTTGATACCTTTGGGGACCTGGCCTTTTGTTTCTGAAGGTTGAATGTAATGCTTGTATCTTTTACAGGTGGCCAATGGCAATTTCGATGCTTGAGTCCAAGTCTGTGAATGTAAAGCCTTTAGTCACCCATAGGTTTCCTCTGGAGAAAGCCATGGAGGCCTTTGAAACATCCAAAAAGGGATTGGGGATAAAAGTCATGCTCAAGTGTGACCCCAATGACCAGAATCCCTGATGTGAATTAAGCTGTACCCTCATCTCCCTCTCAGCATCTCAGGGCTAAATGGCTGGGGCGGGGGGATCTGCCTTGAATGCAGAACTTTGTTTCAAATGGTAAGAATAATTAAAATAATTCATTATAAAGAGAGAGTCTTATAGAGGAGTTCGTGTGCCTTAAAGACACAAATAGGGATAGCTTTGGGAAACTTGTAGCCAGAATGACCTGCTCATGCTGAACAAAGTTCAGCAAGTAAACAGAGCTTAACAAGCAGCCGCTGAGAACTCTCCTTCTATCCGGGCCTTCTTTGGGTAAGGAGACAAATATGGCCTTTGGGTTCCTGTTTCCACTATGACTGGCTGGAGGATGGGAGCTGAGTTATGAAGAGACAACTTTATCAAGACGTACCCAGCCCCAAGGCTGATTTTCAGGGTCTGAGTTGAGAGTTATCAGCAGTTGTAGTTCAGAGCACAATTCCCTGTGGTTTGACAATAAAAGGAGAATAAGAAAAGAAACTATAACTTCCTGGATCTAGTGTAATTTTTAACCAACCACATGAATAAAATAAAAATCTCATGTGAGGTCAAACCAGCTTGCATTCCCCAAATGTAGAACTAATGAGAACACATCTCAGCTCTACAGATCGCCCCTACAACTCCCGAGAATCTTGTCATTCCATTTGCAAGGTAGAGAACTACCTTCCCAACTCTCTCCACCCCTATCCTGAGGTAGGGTGCCTTTCACTAGGCAACCAGGAGGCTCCCACCTAAAGACAGTGGCAGGAAGTCCTTAAATTATGCTTCGGACCAGCCCAGGAGGATTTAGCCAACACACCTGACTGCCTGATTTCTCTACCCCATAGCCTTAGCCTCCCCTCCTAGGCTCACTGAATGATGATTATTAGACAATTCCATTAATTCTGATTGTTGTAGACAGAAAACTTACCTCTTCTCATAGCCAGTTAAGGCTCTTGTCTCTTCCCATCTGTTGGAAGGATATCTCCAAACTTGCCTTATTTTAGTCATGGAGTTTTTCTGTATATGGTTTGAATCCAAATCGCAACATGTTTCCTTGTGATTTTGAGATTATTAATCAAGGGTAAGGCTGTAGTAATAGCTATGACAACTGCAGCCTTTTTTCCCCCTTGCTTCAGTGGTGGGTGGAGGGAGAGTCTGAAGATGCTTGAGTTTTCTTATATCCAGGGAAGGCCATGGCCAATGCCTGGAATTCCTCAAACTGGTTCAGGTAATAAATTCTATTGCTGATATGTGACTTCTGCTGCCATTTATGCCTCTTTAAGGAAGAGTGGACTTAGATTGCCTGTTGAACAGAAGGAATAATCCCAGGACTTTTCCAGAGGACCCATTTTCTGCACTAAATACAATTACATTGACTGTTGGAAATTTGCATAAATCTTCTATAATCCTCACAGCAAACCAAATGTATAATGACTATTTACAGATAAGGAAATAGAGAAAAGTAATTTGACTAAGGTCACACACTGCTTTTCTTTTATCAGAAGGAGGGAGGGATGGGGAGACTTCTGTGCAAACACACATTTAGCAGTCACACAGCCCAACCCACTTGCACTTTCTTCTCTTATTTCTACATAGTTGGGGCCAGACTTGCCACTTGTCTTAAAACTCTCCTTCCAGCTTAGTGGTGCCCAAAGTTTCTTTAATGTGAAATGAGATGGAAGACTCATCAATGAGATGGAAGACTTTCTAGATGGAAGACTTCTAATAGAAATTACTCTTGAATGGGGCAGATTTCATTTTGTTAAATTCACAAGTAGCTGCTATTGTTCTGATTATGGCAGGATGTAGGGAGGACACTGAACCTGAAAAAGATTTCAGAGCTGCAGAGGGGACAGCAGGAAAGGTAGCATCAGCAAGGACAAAGACACATCACTTTTTCCATAGTTGTGTTTGAGCCTGATCTTCTAAGCCAATGTCTATCAATGTCAACATCATCTCCATTTTCTGATCTCTTAGGTGGGCTTCAGGATGCCTGTGCAATTATAAAGAGCAAATGAGCCAATTGAAAATAGCAGTTCAAAGGACTCTCCTCATTTGCAAGGTCTTCCACAGCTCTCAAACTATTGCTTCCCACGCACATCACAGGGGCAGAGAGTGGAGGCAGCAGAGGTAGTGAGAGTGGAGGCAGCAGAGCTTGGTGAGAGCACTACAGAGCTGGTGCCGAGACTCCCTCTCTTCATCCTTGTTCAGATGGCACTTCCACCACTTGGAAGGGGCTGCAGGAAGCCTGGGAATTAATTTCTTAGCACCACCTCCACAAAGTTCTCCATAAACATTGATTGACTCAGTGAATCAGTCCCGGAACTAAGACGAATATGAATTTCCTGCAAGTTCCCCAACCCTGGGAGGCCTGGTGGCCTCTGTGTGCTCTGTCACCTGTGCCCGGCACTGGTTCACTCTCAGTCAACACTGAGGACCCCGCCCAGCAGGCACTCCCAGCACATGAGTGGAGTGGGGTGTAAGAGTGGAGAGCTGGGAAGAAGGACCCTAGAGGCAACCCCAAGGGTGGAAGAGAGAGGCTGCCTTATGGACCCTCAAAAAGGAAGGGGGTGTGCATTGGCTCCAGCAACTCCCTTTTGTGGTGTACTTTTGGCCACTGCACATGGTTTCTGTTCATCTCCTCCCAGTCTCTTGTGTAGCTGTCTTGCCTTTTCTTTCCTGGTTTCTGTTTTGCACAAAAAAGGTTTGTTTTAGGCATTGGTGGAACCAGAAGATCAGGATCAGGGGAACAGGATGTGTTGCATATTTTTCTTCCCCTAGAACTGTCCCCTGCTCATGATGTCAGTCTAGGCTTGGGGCACAGAGGCCAGGTGACAAGGAAGAAATGCCCTGGGCAACTGGTTGGGACAGAGGCTGCACTCGGCAAGTCCTGGTTAAGGCCCACATCCCTGGGTGGTAGAGAGGTCTCCACCATCCCCATTTCCATTTATACATCAGATTCTTCAAGGGCTCAGAGAGGAGCAGAATGGAGAAGAGGCAGCAGTCTAGTGGCTTGGTGATGAGCTTATGGCCTATGGGAAGTGCCTTCAAGATGTCAGTAGTTGTTCTCTGACACAGCTGCTACCATAATGACACCACCCAGCAGCACTCTCACAGCTTCTGCCCCTCCAGCTTTCCTCTTCTCTTAAAGCCCTGGCTGAGTCAGATACTGAGTGTCTCCCCTGAAAGTGGCTCAGGTAGTTACCTCCAAGATATCGCTCAGTAAGTCTTCCAGTTAGTAGGAGATGCTTGTCACAAGTTGGGATGGCTGAGCAACCTTTGTCCTCTGAGAGGTAGCATGTTGTAACATTTAATAGGGATTCCTGGGTTCTGTCTAATCCTGGAGCAGTCACTAACTCACCATGAAATTTATCAAGTTCCTTCCCCAATCAGCCTGTTTCCACTCCTTGTTCTCCTTGACCATAGCATCCCTGTCCTAAGGGGTCTTCAGAGCCTAGAGATGGGTCAAGCAAGTCAGGCTCTTCACTGCCATGGTCGTTTACTGGCTTTTCTATGCTCCACATAAGGCGAGAGGCAGAGACACAGCCTTTCTGGGTTGGGTCCCTTCGTAGGAAGGAAGGAGCTATGGGGAGAAGGTAGGCCTTCACATAGGGTGAGCCTGTTCTGGGCCCAACACCACTGGGAGACATGAAAAACAATCCCTTAGGAGTAAGAGAGAAAACTTCTGAAGACAGCATGGTTAACTTTCAATCTTATGGTGTTAACAGCCACAACAGAAAATTAGGAGATGAAAGTGTAAGTAGTCTTCAAGGCTATGGAAGGGAGGTAATATCCCAAGAGATAGGAGGCTGGGACAGCTCAGTCTTCTGAAGGCATGTAGTCTGCAGAAATGCCAGTCAAAGCAGGGTCTGCATTACTCAGAAAACAATATTAGAGACTTTCCCAGAAGATAAGGACAATTTCAATGACAAGGGGAAAACACATACATATACTATTCACCAAAGTGACCTACAGTAATCTTTTACCTTATTAGCATAGTAAAATGCACACCCCTGGATGGACACTTAGGATGGTAATGAGACATGCGATGCATGAAGAAGAATGATAGAAGGGAGTGTAGGCCCAGCTAAAGCCCCAACTCCACATGAGATGACATCAAGAGATGGTGTTCACCCTATAGATGTCACAAAAGCTATTCCCCCTTTGTTCTTTGCTTGAGATCAGCCTGGGAGCTTAGTCCCTCCCGTGCTATCTCCCTTTTGCTTCAGGTAGAAAACTCCCCCCACCTTTTTTTTTTTTTTTTTGCTGAAGCCGGCCTGGGGTTTCTATCCCTCAAAGCTGTGTCCCTTCTGACTCAAAGTCCTTAATAAAGGCTTGCCCGTGCCTAAATTCATTCTGGGTCCATTGTTCACTACACCTCTGGATCCAAAAACCCAAGTTGGGTAATAGTATGAGTGCAGTTCTTGGGCCAGCCCAGGCTTCAGGTAGATGGTGCTGAAGCCTCATGGATTCTACTCGGACCTTACAGACTCATGAGCATGGGACTATGGGCTACTACCCTCTTGGGCCTCTCCAGTAGTCCTGCCTCACAGCTATTCCCTGGTGAGAATTGGGAATCTCAAGAGGCTCTTCAAATTCGCTGGCAATAGCCATATTCCCTATCACATAAGTTTGTGCCTTGTAAGAAAATAACAAAGGAAGATAAGTAAAAAAATAAAAATAAAGAAAGAAAAGAAAGAAAGCACTATCCATTCCTCAATAATAAGAGTGTGGGATACTTCCTTCCAGTTCTTTCCTATGCATCTCTACACATATAAAACACAAACATGTATTTATGAACATAATAAAAGTGTACTTTTACTACTATTTTTCTATCACCTGTAATAAATGCTTTAAAAATAATCACAATTATTAAATAATTCCCATTATTATACCCAATGAAATGAACCATTCCTTCATATCTCATACCAAATCAATTTTCCCTAATTAAAAATAAAGATTACTTTTTTATACTGGTTTTCTTGGAATTTAAACACACACCTTACTGGTGATTGATATTCTCCATTTTGGTTTAAATGCCATTAATGTTGAAGAAACTGGGTCTTTTGTTCTCTAGATACTATTTTGTAAACCTGCCTTTTTTCTTTATTTAATAAATTGCTAAATTTCTTTTAAAAAAATATTTATTTTCTTAGTTATAAGTAGACACAATGTCTTTATTTTTGCTTCATGTAGTGCTGAGGATTGAACCCAGTGCCTCATGCATCCTAGGCGAGCTATCTACCTCTGAGTCAAAACTCCAGTCCCAAATTGCTAAATTTCTATGTCAACAATTATCATCATGTAAGTCACTTGTTTAAACCAATCATCATTTGTAAGTTACCATATCCCATTGTATGGGTGTACTATTAGTTATAAAGCAAGTCACAGTAATTTGGGCATTTGGATAGTTTGTAGAATTTTGATCTTATGATAAAAATGTGGTGATGATCTTTGTGGTGCAGACTGTGCTTGTGCTTCTGATTTATTTTCTAAAGTTATACTTTAGAATGAAGAGAGCTGGGTTGGAGGCTACACTCTTTTTTTTGCAGGGCCTCACATATGCTAGGCAAGCACTCTACCACTGAGCTACATCTCCAGCTCTGGAATACATACTTTAAAATTAACCTGGATAGGCAAGAAAACAGAGTATTGATATTGAGACTAAGAAAATCTCTGGGGGTGCCTCTGGCCATGTACAATGTGGGAGGACTCTGGGGTCTGAGGGAGCTCTCAAGGGTTGCTAAAGATGGGGCTATGGAGACATTGGCTCTCTGGCTTCAGGCCAATCAGAGAAAAGCTGGGTTTGGGCTTCATTATCCAAAATTTGGACAGGTCACTATGTCTTCAGGCCTTTCCTTATTGGTAGTATCAATGGTTGCTTTGGGCTCTGGGACTATTACCAAGATATGACAATAAACAGCCCCTTTAAAGGGCTGGCATAGGATTCATAGGAATCTGTAGTCTAATTACTGTGGAGAAGTGGGCCACCAGGAACTTGTACTGAAAGCCTCCCCACAACAATGCCAGGAAACACTGGGTGGCATTTGTTAACTTTGATAACATTGTAATGCTGTTGTGTGTAGAATATTCTTTTTCAGTTCTGGACTCTTTGAAGTAGGTACAAATTCATGTAGCATACAATGAATTGGACTAGGTTTTAAGCTACACATTTTGGATTCTCCAGGCCCTGAGAGGCCTGGAAATTTATAGGGCCCTTAAGAAACGTATGTTCTGAGTGATTCAAATATAATTGTCTCATGCTATTTTATTCTCTTGCTACATATGTATATTTAGTATTTGCCTACATAGCTTAACAATACAGACTTTCAAGTGTCTTGCATGTTTGTGCTACTTTCAGAAACATCAAATTGAAGCATCTCTTGTCACTCATCAAATGGGATGGGATTGGGCTGCCAGCATGGAATGTATCAAGGGTTGATGATTCTGAAGAACTTCTTGGGAAGACTATTAATAGTAAGTAGGAGCCAGCGAATGATCTGATAAAAAGTGAATGAGGAAAAAGCTGAGAGGCAAGGAACTACTACTAATCCAGGGCAGAGTGAAAAACATGACTCAACGTGGCCTTTGGGGGCTGGGGCTGCAGGTTCTAGGAAGCGGCTGGGCTTTCAGGACAACACAGGGACAGACAGGCTCCAACCAGAGTTTCCTGGGCAAACCCCAGCTTGGCTTCCCCTGTACCACAGACTGAATTCCACAACTTACTGCACACCCAACTAAATGAGGTCCCCAGGAAGTCCTTGCTTGCCTTCACCATGCTGCCTTCAGGATGGGGATCTAGAGAGACTGATGATTACAAGGGGAAGAAAGAAATTGCTGGGTGATTAGCCAGAAACACCTGTCATCCAGTTTATGTCTTGTGGCCATGAAGCTGAGTGGAGGAAATGCACCCCTGCACTTGAAGGAGATGGTAAAGGAAGAGGCCACTAGATGTTTGGATGTCTTGGGCTCCACATAGTAAGAAAGAGGTGGGTGCACGTTAGGCCTTATGACCTTGAGAGACTCACTTGACTTCTTTAAAAACTCAGTTTTCTCATCCTTTAAATTGGAAAAAATAATACCTACCTCAGGGACAAATGAACCCATTTTAAAGTAATTAGCATCAAGAGTGTCACTATGATTATGTTTATTAAGTGTTTATGCCCCAGTCCTCCCTTCACCAAACCTTATCTCTTCTCCTATTAAATGGGCAGGGTGGATGACCCCCAAGACTTTTCCACCTCAGATCCTGGAGTCTGCAAAGGTGCTTGAAACTGAATGAGAAGTCCCCAGGGCATCAGAAAAGATCTAAGACTGGCCATCACCCAGCATCCTCAGCTCTTCCATAAATGTGCCAGGGCATGAAAGATGGCATCAGACCTGGAAGCCAGGCCATGTAGAGGAGATGGACCAAATAACAACCAGAATCTACTCTTACCTGCCTGCCCTCTTACTTGTTTTGGGCAGAAGAACAGGAAGATTTTCATTTTTCACTGTTTGGATTCCCCCATTATTTAAAAAAAAAATTTTTTTTGCCATGATTAATAAGGATATCAGTGTTCCCTGTGGCTTTCAGGCTCAAGTGCAGAAAAGTAGAATTCCCATCCCCCCCCCCCCCGAGAAAGCCCTTGGGACCACCCAGAGGAATCCCTGGGCCCAGGAGGGCTGTATGGCTGGCCCCCACAAGACAGGGACTGTTAAAAGCCGTGGCCAAGTCTTACACTGCATTATGGAGAAATCCCTCACAGACTGCCATGGTGCCTAGTCCACATGGAAGGTGTTCTGGAATTTCTGTAGCCTCATAAACAGCCAGCCCTCATCCTTAGCTCCTAGCCATTCTCCTCCTGCCCATCAATCTGACCTGACCCAGAACATCAAGGTGTCTGTCCTTCAGAAACAGTTTCAGTATCTGGAGACTTATTTATAGAGAGGAAGCCAAACTCTGAGGGCTAGGAGTGGCAGGTGCAGAGACCACAGCAAGAGGAGAGCTTACCTGGCTAGCAACCCCTCCCCTGAAGACCCATCAGTGACAGCCTAGGGTCCAAACAAGATGGGGATCCCACTGAAGGACAAGAAGTAGGACCAGCTGCTCCCTATAGTCTCTGGTTTTAGGGGGAGTTGTACAGACCCTGTAGTGTTGTAAGAACAACACTGGATCAGAGGCAGAGTCCTGATTTCTGGGTCCAACCCTTCCAAATTCAGAAGAGACACTTAATTTATGTTTTTGTTGTTGTTATTGGTGGTGCTGGGGATTAAACCCAGGGCCTCCCACATGCTAGGCAAGTGCTTTATCACTGATCTGTAGCCCAGCCCTTTTTATTTTGAGACAGGGTTTCATTAAATTGCTGAGGCTGGTCTTGAATTTGCAAGGACTGGAGATGTGCACCACCAAGCCCAGCCTATGTATGTTCTTGACCATCTGCAATGCAAGTCATTGGAACTTCTCCTGCTATTGTTGTCATCTATCAATAAAATACTAAACTGCTAAGAGAAAGAACGAAGGAGTAATTACAACTGTTATTCTTAACAGTCTGGCTTGCTGTGACCCGGACACTCTTCTGAGATGCTAGATATCTGAACTCATTTAACCCTCAGTATAACGCTATTAGATTGATATCATTCCCCCTATTTTATGGTTGAGAAAATTGAGGTATTAAATAACTAAATAGTTAAATTATTAGTTCTAGATTAAATAATTAGCTCCAGGTCCCATCCCTTCACCCCTGCACATATACATATGTTTGAACATGTAAAATGTCTGCTACAATGGACAGCAAACCGAGTTGTTAACTCTGGAGGAGAGGATTTGGGGGATTTTGTGTTGTCGGAAGGCAGGAGAACAGGAAGACTTTCATTTTTTACAGTTCAGATTCCTCTAATATCATTTGAAACTTTTTTTGGTCATGACCACACATCACTTGTGTAAATTAAGACGATTAATAAGAATTTCATAGTACCCTGTGGCTTTCAGACTCAAATGCAGAAGAATATAAGTGGTGACATAGACTCCCAGGGCAGAGGACCATTTTTGTTCCCAGAAAGCCTTTGGCTGCAGTCCCTGTCTCGGAGCAGACAGAGGGAGAGAACCAGGTTCTCACATTAGAACCCCTGCAGATCTTAGGCAACCAGCCAGTACAGGGCCATCTGCTATGTCACGGAGCCCACAGGCCAGTTGTGAAGCCTCAAAAGCCATGATAAACAATGTATATTTAAAAATATGGTTAAAAGTATGGTAAGCAAGTCCCTAAAAATACTGGCTGCAAGGGGTCAGCTGCTTGTAAGGCTGCATCTTCCACTATCTCTTGATCTTTTAAACTAATTTTCTACTTTATTTGCTCACTGCTAAGTAACTGTCCACAACAGGGCAGTCCTTGGCACCTCCCTTTAGGTTAGTGTGTCTGCGTTTCTGGTCTCAGCCATGTTTTGTGGATTGTGTCACTAAGCTTTGTTTTTAAATCAAGTCAATGATCCTTTTATTTTCGGAGGAATTTGTTTATGGCTGTGATTATGATGTTTGTACTTCTATCGCCTCTGGACCTGCCTTTGTTGCTTCCTTCTTTTGCTTTCCTTTCCCCTGTGTGTGGTTTCTGTAGAGGACTTCTTTTTCTGGGTCCTTTTAAATGAGCTCAAAAGAAAACATTACCTTATATTTTTAGCTTTTAAAATTGTTTTTACCATTAAAAAAATTGAAAAGATTTAAAACAATGTTTCCTACTATTAATTAATTAATTAATTAATTTTTTTTTTTTGCGGGGTGTGCAGTTGTGAGGATTGAACCCAGGCCTGTCTAAATATACCATTGAATCTCCCCATTGACTCCCCTGGTGGTCCTTACAATATCATTTCTAACATACCATTTAATTAGCTCTCATACCATTAGACCTATTCACAGTGAGCTTTTCAGATCTTTTTTCTGTATTCATGTTCCCACTTTTCCTAATGATGTCTTCTGCAACTGTAAACCCCTGTCAATAGATTTTTTCCTGCCCCTGCTCCAGCCCCACCTTGTCTTTGAAATTGAACCCAAGGACCCTCTACCACTGAACTATATCCCCATCCCTTTTTATTTTATTTATTTATCTTTTCTTTTTATTTTATTTTGAAACAGGATCTCACTAAGTTGCTTAGTGTCACATTAAATTGCTGAGGCTGGCTTTGAACTTGTGATCCTCCTGCCTCAGCCTCCCAAGTTGCTGGAATTACAAGCATGCACCACCACACCTGGCCCCGGCAATGATTCTTTCAAGGATTCTGTTTCTTGAAATATTCTTCCAAAGGGGAAAAAATGACTGGGATTCTTATTTCATGTTTCTAATTCCTTTTCCTCAGATTGTGGGACTCTTCTCTTTTTCCAAGATTTGAGAAGTGATACCCAAAGATGTTTTATTCTAGTCTCTTAAAAAATCTTTTTCTAGTCATCATCACCCCCACTCCCTGTAATCACCAAATACCACACCCATGTTTATGACCCTATTTGATGGCATCTCTGAATTCAGAGTTGGCAAATAGGTTTGTAGGGAAACGTCGTAGAGGATTATATTGCTATCTGAGCTTTACAAATATATCATCTTACTCTCACATTTGGCAGAAAATTGAGGCTCAGAATAGTAATGGAACCTGAATAAAGACAACTATCATAGTAGGATTTGAGCTTCAGGCTGATGGAGATCCACTGGCCATTCCCTCAACCACAATGATGCTGTACTTTTTTCATAATAGTCTTGGTTATTCTGTTGCCCTGTATCTTGTTATTCTCTTTGATCAGTTGCTAGATGTATTGGGTTTTTGTTTTGTTTTATGAGCAAATCTTTGTTTAAGTTGGCTCTATTTAGATTTTCTATGCTAGTATTCTTGGCATTTCTAATTATTTGCTCTCCTCTACAATAGAAGAATTAAAAGTCCCTACCTTAACCTCAACCCTCTTTACCTAGAGGCCTCCATTGATAACAACATTACATATGTATATACACACACTACACTTTACATGTACATATATGTGCATAGATTTAATTTTACAAAAATAAGATCATATCCTGGTTATATACATTTTCATATCAGTACATTTGGATCACATTTTTTTATGATAATGTTATCATAACATCCATTGCATGGGTACCCATAAAATATAATATGCCTTGCACACAACATCCATGTACTGTATATCATCATGCATCTATGCTGAAAGCTATTAACGTAATTATTAAACATCACCCAAAAGCTCCCTTGAGGTATAGGAATTATTTTCCTTTATTCTTTCTTTCAGGGTGAATGCTATCACATCTGCTGGACATGTGTTTGTAATTCTTCAGGACTTCCCCCAATATTTCTTCCTTCTTCAGGTTCCTTTTAATCACCTTTCTGTGTTGGTAATGAGACATTGATTTTAAAATTTCATTTTGACACAATCAAAATGAAAAATTAAAAAGAAATAAAAATTAGAACTCAACAACAATCATCCCCATAACATATCAACTTTAGGTTTTTCTGTGTTGGCCCTTGCACATGTATAATTATAATTTTAAAATATTTCTATTTTTAATCTATGGTTATGAAAGTAATATATACTTATGTTTTAATATTTATTTTTTAGTTGGACACAATATCTTTATTTATTTTTATGTGGTGCTGAGGATCAAACCCAGGGCTACGCATGTGCTAGGCGAGTGCTCTTCCGCTGGGCCACAACCCCAGCTCCTATATACTTATTTTTTAAAGATCAGAGATATGTGTAACATAGATAAATAAAGTTACTCTTAGTTCTACTCCACCTCCAGAGATAAACACTGTTAACAATTTACAAATACTTTCACAGTCATAATCAAAACAAAGCTACAATTTATTTTCACTTAATTATAAATCTTTTTTGTTTTTTAGTACTGGAATTGAACTAGGGCCTTGCTGAGCTACATCCCCCATTCCCATAATAGTAAGTCTTAACCATTTTTATATGCTCATAAAATCTTTCTCACTATATTTTCTCCAAAAATACTTTTGTTTGTATTGGAATCCATTTTTGATGATTATTTCTTACTTTTTACTATGAATATTTGTATATTTTTGAGTAAACACTACAAAAATATAAAGAGGAAAATAAAATCAACCACATTGTCACCTAGAAATAACCAATGTTACCTTTTTGGTGCATTGTCATTTATAAACACAAATATTTGTCTAAATTTATGATTATTTTCCTAAGACAGTTTCCTACAAGAGGAATTAGTGAAAAAAAGGGGAGGGGCTCAAACATAGACTCTTAAGATATTTTGCCAAATTTCCTGAATGAGATTGCCCATCTAATAATTTCCACTGTAAATGGTTATATTTGATTGAATAGTTTACTTAACCATTCTCTTACTGTTGGACAACCAGATGATCATGGCTACCATATAAGATTGCTGAGAGAATTAAATCAGAGAGAATAATAGTAAACCCTACTTGGATCTGACTCAGAAGGAATCTCCACTGCTGTTCTCTTGCTTATTCACTCCTTCAACCAGGTAGTAAGATTCCTGTCCTCCAGAAAACTCAGCCCTAATGGCCTCCCCTTGCCATCTTGGGGCCACTGCAAGATGCCTTCCAAAGGTGTCAATCTCTTTTGAACCCTGATGGGGTGACACTTTCCCCTGTCCCCCAGTACTGAGGATTGAACCCAGGAATACTCTACCACTGAGCTACATCCCCAGTCCTTTTTTATTTTTCACTTTGATACAGGGTCTCATTAAATTGTCAAGTCTGGCCTCAAACTTATAATCCTCCTTCCTCAGCTTTTCAAGTTGCTGGATTTACAGACATGTGCCATAGCACAAGGCCAGCTCAGACTCTTATTTCCAGAAAGTGGTGTACTGAAGGGATGACCCTTCATCCGGGTTATAATACAGAGGTATTTCACACCAGGTGTTGGAAGATCCAGAGGTAATAGGAATCCAGAGGTGTTCTTTCCTTCTGAATATGCCATCTTTAGAAAAATCTGGCTGTGGAGGGAGAACATAGTTCAAGTGTGGGCCAGTATAATATAGGCTTTAGCCCAGAAATGAATTTGAACAATGGATTTTCTTTATCCTTCAAGGTTAAGTTCAAAATCTCCCTCTTCCAGGAATCTTTTCTGAATTCCTCCAGCCCCTACCGCTCTCCCACTCATTTTGGCATTAATCAATTGCTTATCACATAATATAGTTTATTTACCAAATAGCCCATGAGAATCTGCTCTGTGCCTGGCATTATACTAACAAGTGAAGAAGGAACAGTGAACAGCAAAGGCACAGGTCCTACCCTCCAGGGCCTTATAGCAGAAGTGGAAAGAGGGCCATTGAGCAAGCACTGTGCTAGCCAGTCACTGTACTTTCTCTCCCAGAGCTGGCTCCTGGAAAGTTCAGAATGGGTCTTGCATTCCTTTGGAGTCTTTTAGGACTTAGCATGATCTTTGTTCACAATAGTTTTGCAATAAGTAGAATCAGAGCAATTAACAATAGAAAACAAGTTATGAAAATGTTTGATTTCTTCTTGTTTTCTTTAAGAGTCTGCATTTTTAGAGGTATGAGTTTGGAAAGAGCAAATACTGAGATGTCAGAGGGCTTGGGTTCAAATCTTGATTTTACCTGTTAGTAGCTGATTTTACCTGTTAGTACCTGTTAGTAGTTACTCTCTGAGCCTCATGAGCTTTTTTGACTAATGGGGGCAAAGATACTTTCTTTGAAGAGTTATTTTAAGAATTAATAAGGCTATTTATGTTAATATATTATAGGATCTAATACAAAGTAAGCCTGTAAATGTTAGTTTCCCTCTTGCAGACTTTGGATGAGAGACAATGCAAGCTGTTTCCCAAAAATAGAACTTCTACTCATTGGTGACAATGGGTATAGAAGGAAAGTATGAAATTTTAGGTCTAGAGGGGTGTTAGCCAAAATTCTTTATTTTCTTGGTGAGAAAGTTGAGGCCCAGATACCTTGGGGACTTTCCTTAGTGGTGTCAGTAGCCGGGCTGGGAAGAAAACCTGGGTCCCCTGAGTCCAGCATTCAGTGCATGGTGGGCAGTCTTTCCTAGAATGCACTGCTAGCCTCTCACTTGCAGAGAAGGGGGAAACTTCATGTTGAAGTGCATGAGGTCACTGTCTAAGAAGAATGAGCCTTCCTCGGAGATCAGCTGGAGAGGTTCCAAGGCCCTTTGCAGCTTCCTGAGAACTAGGCTGGGAAGCAGACTGGTGTGGAGAGTGGTGGCAGAGAATGGGAGAGCAGTGTTTGAGATTGGGGTCTCCGATAACTTCATGGCTGTGGCATGCTTGATGCCTTGAAAAATTTCTGTGCAAAGGTGCAGGATGTCTAGCTGCTACAGTAATGCCCTTCATGTGGAAGCTCTGTGCTAGAAGTCTTATCAGCCTTGACCTTGAACTCAGGCACACAGCTCCTGGGAATAAAGAAACTCTTTTGCTAGACAATGTTTCACCAGCTCTGCTGCTCCTGAAACTGCCTACATAAGAGTAACTTCAAACAATGGACTTTCTTGAGAGCTACACAAAGCTCCTAACATTGCACATTGCAACTGTAGAATGTAACTGAGGAATAGACTGCATAATATTGCTAACTCTGTAACTTTCATGAATACAAAGAATAATGTTTGCATAGTCTTTAATCGGATTAATGAAACAAATATAAATAAATATTGCTAGCATAATTCTTTAGACCTGCCTTATCCATTAGAGAGCAGTGCTCTACCGAATCCTGGCTGTTATCTTAAAAATCTGCTTATGTGAGTCTTTATTTTTTCAATTTCCCATAGTCTCTCACTAGAATCTGCTGGTTTGGCTGTGCTGGTCACAGCAGACTGCTCTCCCTGCCACCTTCCATTCTAGACCAGGCCAAGCCAGGCGGCAATGAATGACTTTCAGATGATGGGTGTGGGGGGTGCTGTCTCTGCAGGGTAGAGCAGGCCTCTTCCTCCCCCTCCATAGATACAGACCCTGGTGGGATACAGAGGGAGTAAGTAGGGACTTGGTCAGAAAGGGGAATAGGCCTAGTCTAGGATCAATTATCTTAACATCACTCAACACTTCCAAACTCCTAGAATATGGAGTTCTGCCTTCAGAACCTCAACTTCTCTTACTCATAGTAAAATACTGATGACAATATTCCAGATACAGTTAAGGACTGCCCATACATTTTCTTTGCCTGAACACTCACAACCTGCTTTTGAGAGACAGGATAAAGTGGTAGTCAAGGGGCATGGTCTTTGGGTAAGCTTTGCAGATTCAAATCTGTCCTCTCATATGGGTAACTTTGAACAAACTGTTTAAGCTTTCTTGTGCTTTGATTTCGTAACTGAAAAATGGGAATAATGATAGTAACTACTTCATAGTTTGTCCTAAGGACTAAGTGAGCCAATACATTCCAAGCACTTATAAGAGACTGGGTACACAACAAGCTCTGTGTACATAGATTGTTATAATCTGATTGTCATCTTCTTAGGGGTCTTCTCTTAATAATTTTATCTTAAGAGTATCCCTTGAGTTGGGGATGTGGCTCAGTAGAGTACTTGCCTAGTATGTATGAGGCCCTGGGTTCAATTAGAAAATAAAAAATCCACCTTTAGTCACTCACTATCATTAGATTATTTTCAAAGTACTTAGAATTGGGGATCTTCTCCTCCTAACTTGTTTATTGTCTGTTTGCTTCCATTAACATTTAAGTTCCATAGGAAGGAACTAGAGAATATCATGCTAAGTGAAATAAGCCAGTCCCCAAAAACTAAAGGCTGAATGTTTTCTCTGATAAGTGGATGCTGATCCATAAGGGGGTGTGGGGGCATGGAAGAATAAAGGAATTTTGGACTGAACAGAGGGGAGTGAGGGTAGGGTAGGGGCTGTGGGAATGGGAAGGACAGTGGAATGAGACAGACATTAATACCCTATATACATGTATTATTATACTACTGGTGTGACTGCACCATGGATAGCCAGAGGAATGAGAAGTTGTGCTCCATTTGTGTACAATGTGTCAAAATTCATCCTACTATCATATTTAACTAATTAGAACAAATTAAAAATTAAAAAAATATATATATATTTAAGTTTCATAGAAGCTGGGCCTGTTGAATTGAGTTGAATTATTTCATTGGATCTTCCCAAATCCTATGAATAAGATACTCAGGTTATTCCCATTTTATACAGGCACCAAGTTTCCTTTGTTTGCTCAAGGTCATCTGTCCTGGACTCAAACCTGATTTGATTCAAGAGCCCTTGCTCTTAAATACTCTGGTGGATTGGCTCCTCTTACTCAAAGTTCTTAGCAAGTTAAGTAGGAAGGATGCCATGTCTTGTCAACTTTGTCCTCTATGGATGGGGCACAAGTTTGGACTGTAAAGTTGGAAAAAGAGGCAGTGTTGGGGCCTCCATTTATCTCCACAGAGCCTGATGGTTCCTCATGTTCTCCTTTCCCACCTGGCTCTAAAGCCTTGCCATCCACTTATCCTAATCCTTATCCTCATCTTCTCCATTCCCAGTCCTATTGTTGTGCTGTTTCTTCTCCATCTCATTCTCATCCCTATCCCTATGAGGCAGGGGCTTTATCCCAGGGCCTGAGACCAACATCTGTAGAGAATGTTTGCTTCCTTTTACACTATTACTATAATATGTTCTGTGAGTCATCCTCCCCATAGCTTCTTTCTTTGGACATTTTTTGGGGGCGGAGGGACTGGGGATTGAACTCAAGGGCACTTAAACACTGAGCCACATCTCCGGCCCTCTTTTTGTTTAGAGACAGGGTCTCACTGAGTTGCTTAGGGCCTTGCTAAATTTCTGAGGCTGGCTTTGAACTTTCAATCCTCCTGCCTCAGCCTCCTGAGCTGCTGGGACTACAGGCATGAGCCACTATGCCTAGCTTTCTGGACATTTTTGCAGACCACCTTATTTACATATTTTCCAGAGTATAACTTCTCCCCACATGTTTACACAGTTAATAACTTTGTTTTCTCAACCCAAGTGTGAATTGCCTGATGGTTACCTGATCCTGGGCCTTCCTGACTGACCAAGGAGAATCTGGCTCAGGCTCCAGAAAGGATGGGACCTGTTTAGAATTCTGGCAAACAGACAGACTGAAAAGACATCTATCATCTCTTTAAGGCCTTAACTTTAATCCTGCTCATTTGGTGGCTCTCTGGGAATCAGCATGGTGTTATATAGTACATCCAGGTTGTGAATAGACACTTTGGGCTAATATCTAAAGCCTGGCTGGAAATGGAGCCAGGACTGAAGTCAGGCAGTCTAAGTGCTACTGGAGGCCATTCAAGATCATGGTGGCATGTCCCTCTGTCCAGCTAGATATGCACTTGACATTGCCTAGAGTCAGGGAAAAAGTTGACTGTAGATTCATTCATCGGTGATCACTTCCCCTAACATGGAAGGGAGAACAGGGCTGAGGACAGAGTGTTATAGATTATGGGTTATATTAACTTGACAGCCATGTTAGCACCATTCTCCAGTCTGGTAAGGACAAGTGAATTAGGATGGGACAGATAAATATTTTGAACAGTTTTTAGAAAGGCATGGGAGGACACTGATAGGTAAGATCTGGGAATAAAGTTACTGGTGTATACTTGGTGAGGGGCAGGAAGGCTGGAGGCTGGGAGGCATGATGCTGTTCATAAATGGATGGACTAGTAATCATCATACATTGTAATTAATATATTCCTATACTTTTTCTCATCAATATAATTGTTTGGGACTATTGCTCTCTGACTCCCCAATACCCTTCCAGACATTTGAATAAATGAAGAAAAAGGGAAATTAAGAGATTTTTCCATCTGAAACATTTACAGATAAAATTGGCGATAAAATCCTAGGTCTCTTGGGTCATGATCTGTTGTTTATTCAGCTTTGTTAGAGAGATACTTTTAATATAGAGGTATAGGAACCAGAGACATCTGGCCTCTGAATAAATTCAACGAGGAAAAGAACCTGGTAGGTTTGTGGAGATGGCCTGATTACAAATAATACTGTCTTGAGAACTCCGTGACTCACCAATTCCACTCCTAGATATATCCCAAGAGAAATGAGTGCATCATTTTCACCAAAAGATAAGTATAAGAAGATTCATAGCAGCTTTATTTATCATCACCCAAATACAGAAACAATTCAGGGTTTATCATCAGAAGAATGGATAAACAAACTGTGGTACATCTCTCTAATGGAATACTACCCAGCAATAAAAAGGATCAAACTACTGATACAGCAGCATGAATGAATCACAAAGGCATCGTGGTGAATGAAAGAGAACAGTCTTAAAAGAGTACATTCAGCATGACCCAAACAAAGTGACAGAAATCACATTATAATTAGCGTTATCTGGTCACCTAACTCTTCTGGAATTGGGAAATGATAGAAAGTCTTAGATATGTGGCAGAGAGGCTAGACTCCCTTGGTCCCAGAGCCCAGGAATCACTCCCATCGCTCAAAGGGGCAACCAGCATCACTGACATTGCAAACATCAGGGCTGATGAAGCATCTTTGTTCCCTGGTGTTCTAAAGGCTCCTGACCCTCTAGGAGTGAGAAACGTCGGGGAGGGGTTGCACTTTGGAGCTGGAGGGGAAAGGCCTATGCTGAGCTGAGGCAGTTGGGCTGTTCAAGCTCTCAAGCATCACAGCTTCTGAGTTGAGCTCTGGGAAAATTCTCACTCAGAGGTACACCCACCTTCTCTTCCCTCAAAATGGTTTGGCCAAGAAAATACCAAAGCAATAGAGGAATGGGATCTATCAGAGGTAAATGATTTTGTTTCTTTTCACCTCCATAGTTGTCACAAGCAGAGGCTGTCCCCTTCCAACTTTGCTTTCACATGCTGCCATGGCTTGAGCTGGAGGTGTGGGTGGGAGGCTTCTCTAACTTCTCAGAACAGAGGACAGATGGGGCATTGAGGGGTGGGTTCTTCTAGCTCTCTGGGTAAGGCCTGGAATGGATTCTGTGAGAGAAGTTGCCAGCAGGATTGGGAAACTGAGGTCCAGAGAGGGACAGCAGGATACTGGAAGCAGGAACCAGGGAGGTGGGCTTAGAAGTTCTCATAGTGGTGCATGAAGTGGGCTCGGTCCTGCCTGTTGACCAGCTGACAGGCCTTCTCTACATTCTTGGTCATGCCAGGAGGGCCACAGCTAAACACCCCAATCTTGCGCACCTGTTAGGCAATTAGAAAGAGAAGGAGAGGCCTGGAGCCTTGTGACGCTCACTCTTTGCGGAAGAAACTTCTCCAGCTTAGCCAGAATGACCTGAGTTTTACCCCAGGCCCTGAGGAGGAGGCTTGAGCTGTGGAGGAAGTCCTCCTCTAACACTTTACCCCATCCTGGGGTCCAGTGGAATTCTCTATTCAGGATAGAGCTGCAGGGTGCTTCAGGGCCAAGACGACCAGAGTCCCAGGGAAGGGGGGGTCAGACCAACCTGTGGGTGGACCTCTTGCAGGGAGTTGAAGAAGGGCTCAAAGGGGGGGCGGCCAAAGTGGGTGACAGAGCGCAGGCCCGTGAACAGACTCCGGTTCAGCACCTTCTGGAAATGTCGCTCACAGATGTACTGGGGAGGGAGGGATGGAGGAAGGTCACAGCCAGGCACACCAGGGTCAACTCCTAGCCCAAATGGTGGCTCACCTGGCCTGCCTGGCTGGCCCTGACCTTACCAACATGGTGGTCCTGAGATCAAACTTCTCAGCCAGCTGGGTGATGTAGATGTGCACAGACACCAGGTCCTGGCAGTCATTCTCCTCTACCTCCCTGATGATGTCAGCCAGCCACTCGAACTGCCGCTGGGTCCGTGTCACCCAGATGAAGTAGATCTGGGGGCACAAGCTGGAACTCAAGACCAGCTCAGCTCGGGATCCCTGCATCCCTGGGACCTTCACCCGAGAGGCTGGGAGGCCTCAGACTGCCCACATACAAGAAAGCTCTGATCCCAGCCAGGCTTCTGAGGATCTGCTGGGGACAGATCCTTCTGGCTATCCCCCTACCTTCCCTCAGTTGGCAGTTGGAAAACTGGGTATGAATGCTTTTAGACTTGCACCTAAAATCGAGGGCCTTTCCCTCATGCTCTTCTGCTGAGACTCTGGAACACAATCAGGATGCCTGTTCCCCATTTGAAGAACGGAGGAAGGACGCTCACCTTTTTACAGAGCATTTGGTTGCCCAAGGCTGATTTAAAGATCAGGTCTTTGAGGATGGAAGCAAAGGGGGTGACCCCAATGCCCCCTCCTACTAGTACTGACACCTCAAACTTATGCCACTCCTGGTGGCCCTCTCCAAATGGTCCATCCAGGTACAGCTGTCAAGAGAAGAGGAAGATGAGATGAGATGAGCCACTCTCCAGCTCTGAAGCCAGAAACAGACGCTGGAGGGAAGCAGAAGGAGGATTGGGACAGAGCACCCTAGTGTCTTCTGGGACACCCCATCCCCCTCCCAAACCAACCATCAAGTGACTAGAGTACCTATTCTCAGGACAGGGAAGGCAAGGACCTTCCACTGATGGCAAAGGCCCCAAAGTGGGGTTCCCAGTGACGGGTACCTTTGGGTATCTGGCACAGCCTTGGCTTGTCAGTGGTGAGTAGATCTCCCTGAGGCGAGTAGTCCAGGGCCCCACAGCCCGAATGTGCAGGCTGAGTGTGTCCTCATGAGGCGCAGAAGTCAGTGTGAACGGGTGGTATTCATTGGTCCCCAGAGCCAGGCAAGCAATCCGCACCCACTGTCCTGACTTGTACTCAAAATCCTGGGGCCGCTCAAACTGCAAATGGGTCACTCCTGGAGGTCATGGGCAAGAAAAGGCATAGATGATAAGGCCTTGCTCCTAGTACCTGAGGACTGACAGGTATCTGTCCTCTACATGCTCCTAGGCCCAAGGAGTGTTACATGGACACATGATCTGGGCAAATGGGTTCTTGTGTCTGAGAGTAGGAAGGTTCCCTTTTCTGTTTTCTGGGTAACATAAGAGTTGGGCTTCTCTGCTCCCTTGTTCCAGCCCCTCTCTTCCTCTCATCACCCTGCAAAGGCCCAGGCCCTGAATTCTAGCTGGTGGAGTGGAGGGACCATAGGCTCTCCAAGGACCATCTCGGTGTTTATCATACCTCCTCCATTTGAGGGTAACCACTGTGATGAGTCCTCTCTGCGTGCATGCTACGTATCATTTATCTAATGTTTTTCTTTAAATTGACTTAGTCTTCAATCCAATTTATCTTGACAAGAAACTTTATCACTAAGGTAAGGTGCTGAGTAGAAAACCACGTGTTTTATTACCAAATCTTAGCTGGGTACTATTTGTTGCCTGGCTACAATTGAGTCTCAGGTCTGAAAAATCTTTATTGAAAAAGGAAGCTAGCAAATACTGAAGCATATCAAAGGCATACCTACACCACTTCCAGACTTGGTCCTAAAATAATCTTGATTGAAATGAGATTAATTTTCTTGCAGTATGAGTCCTGAAGGTTAGACAACTTGGAACACCTAATATCATCATCCACCACCCTCCACGGTAATATGAATCCTCACTTAGGCTAACCCTGACCCTCAATAACAGGCTGGCAATCAGGGCCATTTGACTGTCTCTGAAAGTGCTGTTCTAGGAGGTCATATGGTTCCCTGCCCTGTACTTCTGCACCCAGGCCACACATGTGGGGGTTATTCTTATTCTTAAACCCCCCTGCTTCTCTTTCAGGCATCTTTTCACATAGTCACTTCTCATTGTCTGCAAGACTCTTATGGAGATAAGCACAGCCCTTTCTGAGGCTGCATTTCTATTAGGAAAGCTTCCGGAATCCCAAAGAGGGTATCAGAAGCCGTGATGGGGATCAGAAGGACTAGTGTGCTTCTCCTGTGTTGAGGAGCTAGAGTCAAGCCGGGCTGGTACCTGAAGGCAGCAGTTCCACCTTCACCATGCTGATCTCCACCTTCTTCCGGCTCAGGCTCACCAGCTTGTCTCCCCCATAGATAATTGCTGGGACCAGGAAGTAGATGTGGAAACTGGGCAGCTGGATCAGAGCGTAGCTGCCATGGATGATGAGCTGCAGACAGGGCCAGTTAGTATACCTCAAACCTAGTCAGGTCCCCACCCTGCACCCCGCCTCTTGCCTGGTTACTTCTCTCCCAGGCACCAGGGTGGGTGGGGCTGCAAATACTTGAGTCTGGGTTTCAGATCTCAGGGTCTCAGTCTGAGATCTTGGATCTAATCTCCCAGCTCCGGCCTTTACTGCCACTCCCATCCTGAGTACTCTCCTCCATGCCTGTTGCTGCCCAGAGAAGTCCCTCACCAGGGCATAAAGCAGGACATAAAGGTGGTGGGTCAGCCAGAAGGCCTGGAAGCTGCGGTGGCGGAAGTGGTGAGCAGCAAAGACATACATGATGGCCAGGATCAGGAGCAGGAGGACTCCTGTCATACCTGAGAGCCAGAAGACAGGTGTTAGGGTCCGTAAACAAGTCAAGATGGCGCCTGGCACTTTGCTAGGAGGAGTGGTTTGTGAAGTAACGGCAGCGAGCCATTAAGATGATGGAGATTCCTTGATGAGTGACTGCTGTGTCTAGATTATGTCAATTGGGTTAAGCTGTGTGTAATCATTAAGATGATGATTTCTTGTAGGTTGACTGCTGTATCTGGTTTGTGTTAATTAAGTTAAGCTGTGTATTCAGTTATGTATATATACTCCTACTGTC